AACAGGAGATGCTCTTGTGATCACGAAGCACCTTCGTGCAGAGTACAGTGGGGTCTCTACTTAAGAACGTCCCTACTTAAGAACAATTCTACTTAAGAACAGCTCCGTTTGCTAAATTTTGCTTCTACTTGAGAACAGAAATCCAAGATAAGAACAGGAAAAAAAAAACCTTTCCTGCTCTTTTTTTAACCTTAGGTCATCTTAGGTTAAAAAAAATTCTCCCCCTAGTGGTAGAGTACGTATTAACCAGCTTTGCATTAGTTCCTATGGGAACTAATGCTTTAATGTACGAACGCACCTCTACATAACAAAAAAACAGCCAGAACGGATTAATTGGTTTTCAGTCCATTGCTTCAAAATTAGCTTCATCAGAAGTGCTTTTAACACTGTTCCCTGACCTAAGAAAAAAAAAGAAAAAATATCCCCCTCTAGTCGCAGAAGGCGGAATAGCAGCTTCCCATTAGTTTCTATGGACGGAAAGAGCAGATACGGATTAAATGGTTTTTAATGCATTCCTATGGGAACTGCAGATTCTACATAAGAACTTTTCCACTTGAGAACCACCTTCCAATACAGATTAAGTTCTTAAGTAGAGACCCCACTGTATGCCCCCTGGGCTTCTGTCTGCCGGTCTTGCTTCTTGCTTCTTCCAGTCAGCAGCCTCTCTTCACCCTGAAAATTCAGGGTGGACCAACCCCAATTTATCAGCAGCCAAAATCTCATAGGCTTTATTAATTTCCAGGATAGGAAGAATATATTTTCATTGATCTCTTCTAAGAGCAAGTTCGGTGTGAGGATGCTGTCACCAAGAGTGGAGTCAAAGCATGGAAAATTCACTTTTTTAGAGTGTATCTCAGAGAATTTCTGTGGAGCATGTCAACCAGTGGGTTACCAACTCAGGCTCTTGAGATAGCTATTGTTTTGCTTCCAGTCATCTCTAGTTTTCCTATAATAATAATCTGCCTGTCAAGTAAATTCTGACTTATGGTGACCCTTTTTCAGGATTTTCCAGGTAGAGAATATTCAAAAGTGGTTTTCCATTCCCTTCTTCTGGGGGTGCCTTGGAGTTGTACACAGCTTGGCCAAGGCCACACGCTGACTCTACTCATAGGAGGTACAGTGCGGAATTGAACTCCCAACCTTGAACTCTGCAGCCAAATACCTAAACTACTGAGTTATCCAACCAGCTCTGGTTTCCCAGGCTGTGCTATAAACTGCACTGAAACACAACATAGGAAACTTAGACTCCAGTTTCTGCATCACTAATCCCCAAATTAAATAAGGGTATCAATTGAAACTGAGCCATGACTCATTCTTCTGGCTGCGACACCGAAACCTCTTTCCTTTAATGTGCCATTTCTTTCCTTAATGACTACTTGCTTTTTGTTGCAGGCATGCCTATTTCATACAAAATGCATTTGAATTAAGGCAATTAGAACATTGTGCTTGGGAGAAAATACTGTTAATTAAAGTAGGACTGAATGAATAAGAAAGCAAGCAGACTACATTTGCGGTGAATCTATAGAATCTCCATCTCCAAAGTGTGCTAAATTGCTGGCCAGAATGATAGTTTTCTGTTCACTACTCTCAAATTTAATTTGGATCGATATTAGAATCCCACTCCCCCAGCCCCCTAAAATGAGTTTCTTGAAACTAATTACTTTCAGACGGGGTCAAGAAGCATGTCTCAAGAGGCCGGCAGTCGTTACAGACAAGAACATCTTGCTGTGATGTGGGATATTTGTGCCTTCTTACAAAGCAAGCCGCTACTGTTGGCTTTTAGTCAAACCAGTTTCTGTAAGGCAAGCAGTTTCCTCCAAGCAGGTTACGTGTAGGTGATCAAGGAACAAAGGAAGGCTAATTACCTTAGAACAAAGGAGTCCACAGCTCGGATGTCCAACCAGCGAAGCACTGCAGGCAATGCCCTGATAGCTCTTTTTGTTGACTTAGCATGAGATACAGTGGTGCCTCGCTAGACGATGATAATCCGTTCCACTGAAATCGCTGTTTAGCAAAATCATTGTCTAGCGAAAAGCATTTCCCCATTGGAATGCACTGAAACCTGTTTAATGCATTCCCATGGGGAAGAATCGTCATTGTCTAGCGAAGATCGGCCATAGGAAAGCCACTTTGTGAACCGCCGATCAGCTGTTCAAATCGGTGTCTTGCGAAGCTTAGGTCCCGAAAACACCAGTTTTCTGAGCGCGGAGGGAGCTGTCAAAATCGTTGTCTAGTGAAATTCCCCCATAGGAATCCCTGTTTTGCTATAGCAATCGCAAGCCAATGTCTAGTGAAAAAACTGTCATGCGGGGTAACTGTCTAGCGAGGCACCACTGTACATAGTATGTTATTAGAATTCAGATAGGATACTAGTTACCTAATCATAACTAGGATTGGCTGAAATAACTCGTTGATCTTATGTTCTACCTCTAAGCGAAAGGGCAGAATAAGGGGTTACCCCACCTGTTGGCAGCTGCCACTTCCTGCCAGGAGTGTATGCACATCACTGGAACAGAATGCAGCTACAACCTTTAAGCAGAAGTTTCCCACAGTTAAGGAAATTGGTTGAAAGTGAACCTAGCTAGGATTAAAACCGTCCGCTACGACCTTTAAGCAGAAGTTTCCCACAGTTAAAGAAATTGGTTGAAAGTGAACCTAGCTAGGTTTAAAACCGTCTGCTTCTGGACAAGATGTTCACACCATGCTTGATTTCAGAGTAGGTTCAAAAATGAAGAAACCTACCAATAATAATTTTGCCAAATGCAAGGGTGTGCAACTGTGCCATTATCATTATTCCATCACTTTGTACCACTCATGTGAAGAAGGGATGATGGATCCTAGAGCTGTCACCACAATACTGAGAGGAGTTCCTGTCATCATTTACCATGTTTTTAGATTAGTTCCTCTATGAGAACTACAGTAGTGTCTTGTTTACATTCCTTACTTTAATAATCCTGGGTTCTAGTCTTGCTATTCCTGTGTAAAGTTATCTGTGCTCTTTATCCTTCTTACTTGCTAATAGCTAGAGTTAGATTTCCCCTTCTTAGATGTTCACCTTCATGTGGGGAGGGGGTTTGAGCATGTCAGAGAAGCTGAGAGTAACGCTGTCAGGAGGCTAGGTACCCATTCTGAACCTGGGACTCCTCGCAGGGTCACCCAAGATGGAGTGTTCACAGCGAAGGCACCAGATAAGGACACATCCACCCTCTTCAAGAATAACAGTCTCATCAGCAGAAGAGAATGGATAGTTCCAATGGTGAAGGGGTGAGGATCCCTTTCATAAATGTTTAAGATTCCTTTCACAAATGTTTTGGGTTCAAAAGATAACGGCAAAAGCTGAGGTGAGGGGGGGTAGCTATTTCAAAACAGTCAATGGCAAGGGGACAGTTTGCAGTGTGGTTCAAGGTATTCAGTATTTACAGAATACAGTAGTACTGTTTCTTATGAATTATTTTTATATGTCACAGGAAACTGAGATGGCAATGGTCATGATAATGGCCTATGACGTGAAATATACCTCCTTCGGAATGGCAGCCCCGTCATAGTAGTGTGGGGGCTGCTTCCCTATGCATGCCAATTCTTTTTTCACTTGAATATACTGTACAGTATATGTAAATCCTAAAGCCACATATGTGGGGCCAGTCTAGTGTCGCCAAGACTGTAGAATTGGTCCTGGCTGTTTGTTTATGGTATTGTAGATACTTGGAAGCCAATTAATGTCACACAGTGCCTTACAGCTGCTATAGGTGTACGGGGAAGGGGCTTAAGAATGGGGCAAGAGAGAGATAGAGACTCATTTTGTACCCTACTACTTTCATTGTGTTTTGGTGTTACTTTTGTTTATTGTTTTTTAGTATGGTATTTGTTTTACCTTCTTTAGTATGGGTGTACTTACTGCTGTTAGCTTTAAATGCTGTTTTTTTTTTAATGATGTAAGCCACCTTGGGTCCTTTTTTAAAGGAGAACAATAATTCTTTATTTAACATGAAGCTGAACCGCCATGTCAGTAGAGCTCAGGGAACATCTATAGCTAACAGTCTTGTTCATTCATTTGTTTGTTTGCTGTTTGTCCACTTGGCACTTATGAGGCATGCTCGGAGATGGAATGGATAAGCAATAGAAATAATGTTTTCCATCTCTGTGGAAGCTGTAGCAAAATAGTTGACCCCATGTGCCATTGCCCTCAATGGCTCGGGGAGGTATTCCTCCTTTTGTTGCCAGTGGCCCTTGTGGGCTTTCTGACTCAGAGGCCGTGACAGTCAATCAAGATCCTATCTTCTAAAAATTGCAATTTAGAATATAGAGTTGCCTTTTTATTTTATTTTATTTTTTAAATGGTTAACCAAAGAAAGGTTAACACTTAACTTATTTTCATCCAAGTTCATTTCCATCTTTCTGTCTGCAATAGAATGGCAGTCAAGTTGGCAATGTTCTAGACAAGTTCTTGTTTTAACTCTTCATAAATTCCTACTGCGTTTTAACTGTCTGAAACTGTTATAGTAGTTAAGTTCACTGTGGTAAGTAGACATGCGTGATTTGTCTTTGGTGATGAAGACGACTCCCACCGGTGCAGGTGGCTGGGCCGATTAACACCCACCTCCAGAACCCACCAGACTATTTACTGTGTGGTGTGTGTCTGGCATCATCAACAGCACACCAATAGCCCAGCTGGCACAGCCCTGCCTCCCTGCTCGACCAGCCACTCAGTGACTGAGTGGGGAGACTTGTTATGCTGTCCTGTGGCTGAAGTGGCCAGCTGGGCTTCTGCAGTGATCGGCATGCTGTTGATGATTCTGGCCACATGCACCATGGCGGCAGGTGTTAATTGGGCTGGCCATCTCTGCCGGCAAGATTCGTCTTTGTTGATCAAGGCAGATCTGCCTTGTCTAGTCGGAGGAGCACAGGACAGATTCAAAGTTGTATAGAAATTGAATATTTTAGAATCGGTATCAATTTAAACACTCGAGTGGAGTAATAGAATATGTTTGTTTTTCTTCCAGATGGGAAAATAAACAGGCTTTTAAGAAATGCAATACAATTGTCTCAACCAAGAGGACAGTAGTCTCCTGTAAGTATGAAACTGCTTAATGTAAAATGTTACATAAATGGTAAAAATTTTCTACAGCAGAAGTTTCCTGCAAACTGAATTATAATTCAGAATTTGGATAGGTAAAAAGTCCTCTTTCCACAACTTACACTGGCACAAGGGAAATTATTTCACTGGTGGTAGCAGTTTGATGCTAGTTAGAGTTCCCGCTTTGATTCTTCATTGTTTTAACTTTGTCTTGTTGGCTAGTAGTAAGTCGCAAGCAGAGTAGATCCATTGAATCAGTGGGGATTCTTTCATAAGTTCCATAGATTCAGCGGGCCTACTATAGTTGTGACTCACTACTGGATTTTAGCGATTGTATGTAAGCTGCAAGCAACCTGGAATAGAAGCAGGGACTCTTTAATTGGTGGCAATCTGCTGCTAGTGGTGACATTTTGCCTATGTCAGGAGGAATTGTAGAAGAGGATTTCTGACCAATGTGCCCCTTTTAATTGCAAATTATCCATTTTTTTCTCTTTGAAGATTTATTCCTTATTCTCTTGTCTCCCATACTGATTGATTATTCTACATTTTGAATTGCCAGTGTTGCACAGCGTTGTGTTAATTAAAGTCCTTCTTTAACTTTGGTGTGATTTGGTTGCATAATATATAGAGCAGATTATATTTGCCTTAATTAAATTTAGTTCATAGCTATTTTACAACTTGCCAAATCATGACTAGGAGAAAGGAGTAATCTTACATCTGTGTTTGGCAGTCAGAGTTGCCAAGATGTTTCTGCAGAAAAACTGTTTTGAGGCTTTCCAGTGGGTGGGAGGTGAAAGAAAATCTGTTCACTTGTATTCTAAAGTAGGGATGAGCAACTGCTGGGGGTTTCAGTGGCATCCTACACTGCTTCTGCTGCCAGGTTTGCTGTGGGCATTGCAGGAAAAAAACAACAACCCATAACCCACTACTCTGTAAGGTCTTTTCTTTAAAACAAGGCAAGGCATGAACTCCTCTCAGGTATTGTTTACAAGTGGAGTTAAACTACCAGGGGATTTATGGGTATAGTTCCATTTGTAAACAAGGTCCTTGAGGAGCATGGACTTTGTTTTAAACAAAGCTCAGATTTTTGCTGTTCTTTTTTTTTTTAAGCGGTGGTTTGTGGGGGGTTGGACAATTACTAAATAAAAAACATGGTTTAAAAGATATGTATGACTTCAGGAGCCTTTGCTTTCTTTTCAGGCAAATTGTAGCTTGAAATGTCTTCTCAACCCAAACTTCTAGCCTGTAGAATCACATCGCCTTTAAAAAGATAATTTTATAAGATTGTTTTATTTCATAGTTCACTATGTAAGGACAGTTAGTTAATACAACTAGTCATAATTAAGATTTAACCATAACTTAGCATTCATACAACATAGCAAACTAGGATTAACATAAAATGGAGTAGAAATTTTCTCTTTCTGGAAAGACTTGGAAGTGAAGGACAGTAGAGGGGGAGGAAGAGGTATGCATACCTGAAGGTACATTAGGTTCCTTCACAATATGGTAAATCACAGTTATACAGTATAATATGTCCAAATGCGGCCAAGATAAATAATACTCCTTGTTTGCCTGTGTAATCTTTTAGTAGTATATACATTAGTATATACCCTGTGGCTCACTCTCTACTTTCTTAAATTCAGGATTCCTCTCATGTTGGTGTTTTTCATTGACTTAAAATCAGTTTCTTTTTATGTCAACTTATGATCATATTGGCAGCTGATCAAGTTTAAGACGACAGCTTGTATGGTATAAACACAGATCTGTATATTGCAAGCATGTCTGCAGTAAAGCTACATTGAAATGAACATTTTGTTTTATTTTTATTTTTCTAAGCTATAAAAAAAGGTAAGTTGAAAGTTCAGTGAAACCAGTGTTGTGCTTAGCTTACTTCCTGCCTCTCCATTCCTTTAATTCAATATAATGCTGTCTCTGAATGCTACCATTAAAATCCTTTGAACTATTCACTGCTTTAATAAGGATTAAATGAGCATGATATGAAGCTTAATTCAAACTGATGGGTTTTTCCTGCCCACTATGTCTTAGCATGCTACCATCATAAGGGCTGCAAGCAAGGGCAACGGTCTCCTGAATTTTGACACTTCACCAAGATAATTGCTGTAGCCAAACAGTGAAGAGCGGCACCTTCCCCATGACACCATGTCAACAAAAGAACTCAGCCCCCGACATGGTGCAAAGTCCCGCGCCGTGCAGAGAGCCTCTACTATTGACGTTGCCTCTGACATGCTGGGTTTGTCTTTGTCAGGTGACTCGCTTTTTCTCTTCTTGTCTTCTCACAGTTGTATTACATTTTTTTTCAGGTTTGCTTTGATATATGCCGTTTGAATCCTTTAAACAGTTTTAGACAGATTTGTTTGCCAAATGGTGGTGATAGAAAGATGAGTTGGAAGCACATGCATGCTCTGTGTGGTATGTACACATACACACACCCCACACAAAAACATATGGTTGCAAGCAGTGAACCTCCAATTAGTAACCTTGAGTCCCAGTTTCTTCAAGAAAAGTGGGATAGAAATCAAATACATATATAGTTACATACATTCATACACACATACATACCTATAGGCATATTAAGAACTGGCCTCCATCCAAAGAATTAGTCAGTGCATGACAAAGCACTTGTAAATATTCAGCAGGATCTTAAAACAAATGTCCCTGAATTTTGTTGGATCTTTTGTCCTCTCATTTGTTTTGGAATGGTATAAAATATTGGGGGGAAATGGAAGGGAGCCAGTAGCCCTAGAGATGTAGTTACTGGTTCTGATGCATATATTGAAAGTCCCCTCAGACAGTGGATGATTACGTGGTTCTTGGAATCCTGGCCTTTAAGTTTAATTTTGTTGTTGTCCAAATTACCTGAGTTTTTCTGAAAGGGGGGTGAGAAGGATTCCTGCCCTCTTGCCCCACTTTCCAGCGACAACTTCTCTACATTTTGGTAATAACAAATTTGTGGGCATAAAAAAATAATAATACACTGAATTTAGGCTACATTTTGTTCTTTGTAGGAAACATCCAGGACCCAGATGAGCCAATTCTGGAATTCAGTTTAGGTAAGTAGTTTCAAAAGCATGCCTTTTATTTTCTCCACAGTTTTTAAAAATAAAAGTGGAAATGGAGCTGGTGAGAGATTTGTTCCAACAATATATGGAGAATGTCCCCTTCTCCATGCCCTCCTAAAAGTCTAGTGAATCCTAGGTTTGTGAAGGGTACTCAAAAATTTCTTGTGTTGAATGATTTCTGAGTTCTGCTATGCCAAGGCTCCCCACTGAGGCTTCCCAGCATCCCTGAGATTTTCCAGCCCCTCATGAAAATGAAACCCCCTAGCCTTCTTTTCCTTGTTAAAGAGTCTTGTGTAGCGTTGTGTTTGTTCTACCCCAGTGGGCCCCAACCTTTTTTGGACCGCGGACCGGTCGGGGTGTGTGGACTCCGTGCGTGGGGGGGGCGTGTCATGCTTGCGGGGGGGGTGTCACGCTTGCGGAGGGGCATGTCATGCTCATGCGCATGCCTGCAAGCGCAACATGCCCACCTGCGAGCGTGACACGCCCATCCATGAGCATGACACGCCCACCTGCGAGCGCGACACACCCATCATGCATGCGTGCGGGGGGGTGGAGATCTGTGTCCGCGGCCCAGTTCAAGGAAGCCCACGGACCGGCACTGGGCCACGGACTGGGGGTTGGGGACCCCTGTTCTACCCTATTCCAGGTTAATGCTCTGCAGGAAAGATGATACAGTATTCTCTGCAGGAGTTGCAACAATCCTGTAAAGTTTGGCATACCATCCAGAAAAAAAATGACCATGAAACACGCACAAAATCCTGCAAGAGTTCCCACAGGATTTCTCAGGAAAATTAAAACCTTGCAAGGAGAAAAGAGGAGCCCCCCCCCTTCTTCTCAGTTTCTCTCAGAGAATACCAGAGGCTGCAAGATCACATCCCTGGCAAATATATTCTGGCGAATGGTATTATATTTTGCATCTTCTTTGCCAGATTTATAGCAAGTCGCTTCTCATGATATGCAGTACAAATCCTTGGTTCTTTGTGAGAAATTGGTTTCTGGCCTTACCCCATTGTTTTTTCTTTTTAGCTCTTCAAAAATTTAAATTATATTAATCTTTGCAAAGCTTTCCATTTGTATTTATAACAATTTTCTGCTAAAAGAAAAGAAAAGGAACTCTTTCAGAGTGGACTACTGATACTATAAATATATCACAATGAAACAGTGGGAAGAAGTCATGTATAGATAGGCACACCTCTCTTAGTCTCTGTATCTTAAGTATATCCTCAGCCATGTTGGCTGGATAGCTCAGTGAGTTAGACATCTGCCTGTGGAGCCAGAGGTTAAGAATTCAGTTCTCCTCCCAGGATAAGGGCCAGCCTGTTTAGTCTTGGGGAAGTTGCACAGTCCCAAAGTGCCCTCAGAAAAAGATAATCAACTGTATCTAGAAAGGCTGAAAAAAGTTGCCTTAAATTGGAATTGACACAAGCACATGATTATTATATTCTCATTTATGGCTTCTGCTCTTCTAGCACTAGCCTCTGCAACCCTGTAAGACCTCCTCCTTCCATTGAGAACTCTGACTGTACCCCCTTCATATCCAGTCTGTGATGCTGTGTCCCTGAACACACGTAATGCCACTTGACTGACTGACTGACTGACTGACTGCCTTCCTGCCTTCCTTCCTTTTCTTGCAAAATCTACAGTGGGGTCTCGACTTATGAACTTAATCCGTATTGGAAGGCAGTTCTCAGGTCGAAAAGTTCTTAAGTCAAATCTGCATTTCCCATAGGAATGCATCGAAAACCATTTAATCCGTATCTGCTCTTTTCGTCCATAGAAACTAATGGGAAGCTGCTATTCCGCCTTCTGCCACTAGAGGGGGAATATGTTTTCTCAGTGGCAAGAGCCCTGGAGGAGATGCTTTCCGTCACAAATTACAGCGTGTGGCATTTTCAAAACGCTAGGAGCTGCAAAGAGCAGGCTCTCCCTCCCTCCCTCCCTCCCTCCCTCCAATTTCTTGTCAAAATCTAGCTCATTCCAAATTGTACCTAAGCTTTAGTATGTGCAACATTGCTTGCACATAAGCCGTTCGTAAGTCTAGACCCCACTGTATCTCATTCCAAATTGTACCTAAGCTTTAATATGTGCAACATTGTTTGCACACATCATTATATCATCCCTACTTTTGTGGATCTCAGTAAATCCTCTGAGACTTTCCTCACAAATCAGTTTTAGGTAGAAACCTTTCTGTATTGTTTGTGTATTCCACAAATAATTATACCGCTAATCCTCAGTAAATCCTCTGAGACTTTCCTCACAAATCAGTTTTAGGTAGAAACTTTTCTGTATTGTCTGTGTACAGTATTCCACAAATAATTGTAGCGCTAATCTGTGTTGTCATCCAGTCCAGCCCCTGCCAAGGAGGCACACCGGGCGATTGAACTGCCAACCTCTGCTTCCACAACCAAATACCTAAACTGTTGAGCTATACAGCAGGGTTACTCTATACAGTGATGATGTGAAATCATAATAATATTGGGCTCAAAGGTTGTCCTGTGTTATACACAGCAAGACAGGCCAATGGGAAGTGGGCATACTTTTCCACTTACACCTTTGTGTCCTATATTTGTGCGTTATAATGCCTTAATATGTTTTTAAATGACATGGTTGATTTTCCACAGCATGCAGCGAGCTGCTTACTCCTTCGCTAGATAGAAAGCCAAATAGTTTTGTAGCAGTGAGTGTTACGACACCCCCTCAGGCATTCTGGACAAAGCATGCGCAGACAGAAATTATTGAGGTAAGTAATGTCATAGTTACTGTCGCTGCCAAGTGGTTAGCTTCAAGTTACCTGCATTAACTTTTCTGTTTCTTTTTTTTTTCTTTCTTTACAGGGAACTAGCAATCCTATCTTTCTAAGCAGTATTGCCTTTTTCCAAGATTCCCTCATAAATCAGATGACACAAATAAAACTTTCTGTATACGATGTTAAAGATAGATCTCAGGGAACTGTAAGTCTACACATCTGCCATTCCTGTTACTTCAAATCTTAAATGAACTTTTGCATATTTATATTTTTCAGTCTCCTTCAGAAGAATACTGTAGTCTTTATTCTTTTTTGCCTAGAAAGTTAGAAGCTAAATGCTGGGAAATATTCTAAACCTGTTTTTGAATCTGGGTAGGTCAGACTACAGTCTACATTAAAACATAATTTGTAGCTTTCTATCTGTTTGCCTTTTAATCAAAAATCAACACTGGGGTGAACAAGATCAGGATAATGTGATGCAAGAAATATTTGAAATATTCCCCTCCCAACTGAAAATTGCTGCTTCCAGTGACATGTTCTGATAGCCAAAAAAGCCCCCGTTTGCTTTTGTCAGACAGGAATAGTCAGGGTGGAGAATTTTTGGGAATGGAAAAATTAAAACTCCTTTTGCTCTGTATTGCAGCTCACATTCTCTATCTGCTTTTCAGAATTAAAAGAGGGAACTACATGCCAGTTACTTAATGTAATATGCAGGTGTTACCTTTATATGTTTTGAATCTAAAGGTTCCTTTTCTGTAATTGAAGACAGCATTGTCTAATGAAAGAAGCGGATCTTCATATCTAATCCTTTGCAAAAAATTATGGTTGACATTTTACATATAATTATGGTTAACATTCCTTCTTTTTATCATGCTGCCAGAAAAGGTAACAAGCATTTCTGTTCTTAATAAGAACATCCCATACTCTTTTCCAAAAAACAAGTGTTCAATATATTAACATTGGATATAGACATTTTACACACAGAGAGAGTGCATAACACTAGAACATGATTAAGAAAATCTAGCTGTCATGTGATGTGACCTCTGAATTGACAAGGTGTCATATATGATTTTCGAGCAAAGCAAAATCAGTAATCATGGTCTTAAATAGAGATGGGCATGAACCATCAGTTCATGCCAGTTCATTCTTTGAATGAACAGATGTTTGGCAGTTGCCAGCCCCGCCTCCTCTGGCAGGTGTCCACTCAGAGGCTGCTTCCCTGCCTCACCTCCTCCAAGCGCTGCCTCTGAGTGGACGCTTGCCACAGGAGGGGCTGAGAACCACTAAACATCTGTTTGTCCCAAGGATGAACCAACTTGAACTGAGAAACGCATGTGCATCTGTAGTCTTAATTTATGGCCATTGGTCTTCTTCAGAGATTGTTCAGTCCTGTAGATGTAGGTGGAACTGTAGACTTGAGTAGCAGAAAATAGGAAATGAAAACAGGCGTGCCATTGTAAATCATACTTGGATTATCTTTTTTTTTTTTTGGAAGCTCAGTCCATAATTTAGGTTCTCACTTATAGTTAGTGCATTTTGGCTTAGGATGATTGTATTAAGTCAGAGAGAGAGAAAGAAAGAGATGACAGGTAGACAGGAGTGTTACAAGTCACAATTAAGTCATAGAGGTTATTCAGATGTCTGTTGTAATAACTGTGCTTGTCTGTTTCAGATGTATTTATTGGGTTCTGTGATGTTCACTGTTAAGGAGGTACTAAAGGAGAAGAACCATAGGTTACATTTAACACTAAGGTTTGTACTGAATTTTATTCCATTTACAGACAGGGGCCCACATCTGTACTGGTTATCAAAAATCCAGGCCATTTAACTCCCTATAACTAAAATTGTTTAAACTTGGGTGACGGTGTTATTTTCATCCAGGTTCAACAAATCTCATTCCTAGTTCTAAGTTACAAATGCTGAAGCAGATATTGTACAGACGCCTTATAATTTTGTTTTAAAACAGAATAAATCAATATTAGAACTTCAACATTTTTTTCTAGTCTTGATGTGGTAGTCTCATTGAGACAAGTACTTTTAAAAATACTGTACGCTGTTTTCTAATTTTTACTGTATGTGTTTAAATGGCTGTACTATTTTTCAAAGTAGATAAATAGAACTATTTAAGTTTAGGACAGGCATGAGCTCACTGTCTCACTGAAGGGCCACATTTTGCAGGGCAGAAGAACAAAAGGGAAACCAGCAGCCAGTTTACAGGTGACAGGCATTCTGGGTGCTTGGCATCACTAGATGGATTGTCAAGTATTTCTTTTTCCTGCACTGGGCAATCCGATTGACCGCCGTGCAGTGTGGGCCAGGGCCAGCTGAGTACCTAGTTTCCATTTAAGCTGCTCAAGCTAGGATCTCAGTCTCTTTGCTGGCTCAGTTCTTTCAATCTGGTGTAGGTCAGAGCCTTTCCGATGCTACTTGTTAGCACAGCTCTGATGAAGCACAACATTGAAGCTGTATCTTTGCTGTGCAGCATTCAGACTAATGTTTGTAAATTGTCAGATTAAACTTGGTGGAAGATACCTGCATAGGCAGAGTTGTGGTTGGTGCCCCAAGACCTACTTTGTGGCTTATATGGAATAGTGAGACTTCAATTTGCAAATGTGCTGTTAAGGCTCAGCTGTACGGAGGAGGTGGAAATACTGTAGTTTCCTCAATATATAGCTTTTATCACTAAAAATCATAAATACACATTACCTGTAAGAACTGCATTACCTTTGTTAGAATGCACTCAAAGTCATGAATGCAAGAGGCTTGGGAGACAGCCATGTCTTTGGAAAAGTCCATTCACTGTGTACAGTATCTTTGTTGTTATTTTTATTCTTCCACAAGCTCATTTTGCACTGCTGCATTTTCAGAGCCAGGGCTTGGAAAAGGTGCTTCTTCTTGACAGCAGCTCATGGAATCCTTTAATCTGCCTGGTTGCTGACCAGTGGCCATATTGGTGGACATTGCGCAAGTCCAAGTTTAAAAAAAAAAAAGAGAGAGAGTGGCTTTCCAAAGCTTTGATCTGAACCTGCAAGTGATATGCTGCTATTAAGCACACATATTATACAATACTCTACTGTATTGCAGCCGCTGTAAACCTATTTTTGGCGACGGCCGTAAACATAATAAAGAAATATGGGCCAAAGCAGGATTGTGTGAGTCACATAACAAACCCTATGAGATGGTATGTGAAAATTTGTTTCTAGTCTATGGCCCCCTTCAAATGTGCTTGTGGGGGGCAAGGGGCAATATGTCTCCCATTGAGAATGGCTGCTGTACTGTAGTACATTTGTGATGACTGTGCTAGAGATGAAAATGACTTTCAAAGTACTGTATCTTGAAAAATAACTGATTTAAATTTGAGTAAGTACATGAGTATGAATCTAGAATTATCAGCTCTCTCCAGTTCTGAATAAATATAAATATATTCATGCTATATGTAGATAACGTTTGTGCTTGGCCAAGCTTTTCAAGATTTTATCGGCAGAGATTTCACTTGGAAGTGGATTTCATAATTATATGTATTTTTCCCAGTAGCAGTGTATTGCTGTTCTTTCTTTTAAACTGACTGCACATACATTTATTCAAAGTCTTGTCGTGTTTTAGTTTAATCCTTTTGCCTTTACTCCAAATGGAAACTAAAGCTAAGCACATATAACTGCATTTGCTCATAACTATCCATGTCACCCTTTTCCTCCCTCGCCATTTTTCCTGAGGGGAAATTCAGTACACTGGACAAAGTAATATTTGAAATAATCTTTCAAACAAAAGTTCATAAAATTAATAAGCAATCATTTGCAAGAACAGGAATTGCCATAACAAACAACAACATGCTGTTGAAGATGATGATAAAACAGTGGCCTGATTTTTGCTGCACAAGAACAAGCACTCCAAACCAATGTGATGAAAACTAAGGAATCAGTGCTAACAGCAAATGTTTACACTGCTCACTCCAAACCAATGTGATGAAAACTAAGACTCAAGGAATCAGTGCTAATAGCAATTGTTTACACTGCCGAGAAAAAGACAAAACTGTATCACACCTCGTCTGCGAATGTCCAAAGACAAAATTAGACATGATAGAATGGCAAAATTAATGCACTAGTCATTATGGAAAAGATATAATTTGCCAACCACCAAAAACCCGTGAGAACATCAAGTAGAGAAGGTGTTAGAAAATGAAGGAGTCAAGATTTTGTGGGGTTTCCAGATCCAGACACCTTGAACATACTGTATTTTTCCATTTATAAGACACCCCCCAAAAATTAATCTAACCCAAAAATTAGGAAAACTTAGCTCTGCGTATTCAATTTATTTTTCCATTTATAAGACACCCCCCCAAAAATTAATCTAACCCCAAAATTAGGAAAACTTAGCTTTGCGTATTCAATCTTCAGCCTTTGAGCTCAGAATGCTCAGACATTATAAGTCCCTGTTGCATCTGAACCTATAGGCTCCATCTCTATTTTTCCATTTATAAGACACCCCCCCAAAAATTAATCTAACCCCAAAATTAGGAAAACTTAGCTTTGCGTATTCAATCTTCAGCCTTTGAGCTCAGAATGCTCAGACATTATAAGTCCCTGTTGCATCTGAGCCTATAGGCTCCATCTCCAATGAGGTGTGTTTGAATTGGTTTGTTCAGCATCAGCTTACATCAGTTCCATAAGGCTCATGATTGGAGGAAGCTAAGTCTCCGGACTGTAGGAAGCTAAACCTCCTAATGGGAGGCAGCTGAGCCTCGTGATTGAAGGAAGCCTGTTTACAGAGGCTAGGTACAGGCTGTTTTGTTCTCTCCATGTTCTTTGCTTATTTCATCATGCGAGACGCCTTTCAATTTTTAGTGTAATGGTTTTAGGAAAAAGTAGTGTCTTATACACAGAAAAATACGGTAATACACCAGACATAGTAGTAATAAAATAAAGAAATGTCTGGATCATTGACATTGCAATTCGAAACATCTCGCTTGTGGATAAAACACACTTCAGTGGTCCCCATTCTCACTGGGGCCTTAGGAACAATATCAAGAAATTTCATACAGTATTATAAGCAGTTGCAGATCTCAGAAATAACATCACCAGAGCTACAAAAACAGCAATATTAGGAACAGCATACATACTGCAGCAATTTATTTGGTTAAAACTTGTATCTGTTATATAGTACTAGTCAATGTTTTTATACTTTTGATTGACTATGTCTGGTATTTTTGAATAATAATAATAATAGTGTGCCATCAAATCCATCACAACTTATGGCAAACTTTTCCAGGATTTCCTAGGTAGATTGTACACAGAAGTGATTTAACATTCCCTTCTTCTGGGGGCATTATCCAGCAAAATACACGAAGGGTGTTAAAACTTATAATTACATGCTTTTAAAAAAGATCTAGGGTACAAACAATGACCAAAATTCTGTTCCTTAATGTAGTACATTGCGCTAGAGTGTGCCCATAGAATCAATAAGGATTTGATAAAGCAGCTCCTGTGGAAGGTCTAGTGCAATGAACTGTTAAAGTACAGTAAGTCACACTTAGAGTAGGACCATTTGAATTAATAGAACTATAGGGGAGTGGACTCACCAAATCCCCACTGATTTGTTGGGCCTACTCTAGTGCAGTGTAGCAATGTACTACTCTAAAAAACAGGATTTTGCCCAATGTCAATAGCAACTGCAGAAGATCTGAATATCCTACCTGTCCCATTTTCCATCATCCTCCATGCCTCCATGGGCTGCATCTCCCTTTCCTCCCTTTTTAAAAGTGCCTGCTGCAAAACTACAATTCTGCTATAATACTTTTTTCCTATGCTGTTGCCCTTGGTTCGTAGCACATTAAAATCATTTCTTAATATACACGTATGCATATCTATATCCTTATATTTTAATTATGTAATTAAAATATAATGTACAGTAATTGGTCCAGTGCCGAATCCTGATCTTCAGTTTATATCTTGGACTTGAACATGAACCATTTATGTGAGTTTACAGGCAGAGGCTACTGTCAGGGTTAGGGACCGCAACCACACTGTGTGTAGGACTGAATGGTATAATTCTGTCAAATTGATCCCAGCCAGAACGTGTGTGCATTGCAGATCTGCTGAAAGTGATCGTGTTGGAAACATTACAGTCATAGGATGGCAAATGGAAGAAAAAACAGACCAAAGGCCTCCCGTTACTCGGTCTCCTGACACTATTAATGGAAGGGTGAGTGTGGACAGGGTCAGTCTCCAGGCAGTGCTGTTTGCCAAAAGCTATGACCCACATCCTCCCCAGTGTCCTTTTCTCCATCTGCTACCAGCACACCTTGTGGATAGTTCCTGCAACCCCGCCCATCTGCCCACTCAGTAGCTTAGCCCGCCCTCCAGGGCAAACACAATCTGTGAACGAAACAATCCTGGCTACGGCTACCAGTAACCCTAACGATTGTACCAGCAACTAAGATCATAAGAGTTTGCAGCTGACTGTGTTTATTATTCACTTCTTATAATGAGCTTGTTCTCCTTGCATAGGAGATTTCTGTAGATGGTACAAAATCGTAGTGTGTGAATTGGCACATATTTCTTCAGGCCAGAGATTCAGGCTAACTTTTTTTTTCAGATAGAGGAGTTACTTTTTGTTTTGATATGGTCTAAAATGTTTGTTATGATCTAGACCAGTGGTTCTCGACTTTGGGTAACCAAGGTGTTCTTCGACCGCAGTTCCCAGAATCTCTAACCATCACAGCTGGTGGTGAAGGCTTCTGGGAGTTTTAGTCCAAGAACTTCTGGATTACTCAAGATTGGGATCTACTGGTCTAGAACGAACATCAGAACCATATAATAGTCCAGGAATATTGCTGATCCCCCCCCATTATGATTCACTGTTAAAAGCGTATATGAATAACCTGTCAAAATTTAGTTCTGATTTTATATGCTGTAGGCTAATGTAAATATTTTTTGTTACATGTTTGTTCTTACCTTCCCAAAGGCAGCAAATCCTGTTAAAATTATTAGTGGGTATGCCAGATGTTCTAATTGTTCATTGCTCAATTGTGATAATGTTTTATAAAGAGAGGATGATGAAATTTCACATTTTGTGCTCTCTCTCTCTCTCTTTTTTTTTAAGACTGTGCTGCCAGTTGATGAAAATTTAACAGAGTCTTTAGGAATCCGATCCAAATATGCTTCACTGCGGAAAGATGCGTTGCTGAAATCTGGTAAGCAGCTCCTTATGTTTTTCATTGTGCACTTGGATAGTCCAGTTAAGCTATCTTCTGTAGCCAAAAAGGGGACCACTCATATCCAAGAGTGGATGTGGGTGGCTTGGGACAGCACTGAGGTTTGCAGGAGATGGAGAACTTTAGGAGTTTGGGCAGAATATCCAAAACAGCCCAACAAACAATATGTTTGCTCAGTGCCCCAGAATGCTGACTGATTTGGTCAGTGGTTCCCAACCTTGGGTCTCCAGGGTTTCTTGGACTGCAATTCCCAGAAGCCTTCCCCACTAGCTATGCTGGCCAGGATTTCTGGGAGTTGCAGTCCAAGAATGTTTGGGGACCCAAGGTTGGGAAGCATTGGATTAGGGGAAAGGACAGAAAACCAAGGAAGTTTGCCATTGGATTAGGGGAAAGGACAGAAAATCAAGGAAGATGGATTTTTTTAAAAAAAATCTGAGTTTCCTCCAAGTGGGGCCTGCTTCCTGACAACCGGAGTATCTTACTAATGTTTCACTTCATTACAGTGAATGTCCCATTCTGGTTAATAACAGCATGGAACAGTGTAGTTGTTTTTTGTTACAGTAAGTTACATTAAGTTAAAGGACAGAAAATCAAGGAAGATGGATTTTTTTAAAAAAAATCTGAGTTTCCTCCAAGTGGGGCCTGCTTCCTGACAACCGGAGTATCTTACTAATATTTCACTGCATTACAGTGAATGTCCCATTCTGGTTAATAATAGCATGGAACAGTGTAGTTGGTTTTTGTTCCAGTAAGTTACATTGGCTGGGACAAAAATGTGCTCCAATAGAAAAATCAATAGCTTTGTTGGGATTTTTGTTTGTTCATAGGACAAGAAGTTACTGAAATTTTGGCAACATTATTGACAAAGCAAAGCAAAAAAAAAAGGGTGCTGCTTATATACCGCTCCATAGCACTTAAATCACTCTCTGAGCGGTTTACAATTTAATTATGCAGGCTACGCATTGCACACACACACACCAGCAAGGTGGTGACCTTGGAAGGATGGAAAGCTGAGTGAACTTTGAGCCAGATACCTGGCCTGAAATTTTGGCAACATTATTGACAAAGCAAAGCAAAAAAAAAAGGGTGCTGCTTATATACCGCTCCATAGCACTTAAATCACTCTCTGAGCGGTTTACAATTTAATTATGCAGGCTACGCATTGCACACACACACACCAGCAAGGTGGTGACCTTGGAAGGATGGAAAGCTGAGTGAACTTTGAGCCAGATACCTGGCATTGAACCTGGGCCATGAGCAGAGTTTTGGCTGCAATACAGTGTTAAGTTACATTGGCTGGGACAAAAATGTGCTCCAATAGAAAAATCAATAGCTTTGTTGGGATTTTTGTTTGTTCATAGGACAAGAAGTTACTGAAATTTTGGCGACATTATTGACAAAGCAAAGCAAAAAAAAAAAGGGTGCTGCTTATATACCGCTCTGTAGCACTTAAAGCACTCTCTGAGAGGTTTACAATTTAATTATGCAGGCTACGCATTGCACACACACCCCAGCAAGGTGGCAACCTTGGAAGGATGGAAAGCTGAGTGAACTTTGAGCCGGATACCTGGCATTGAACCTGGGCCGTGAGCAGAGTTTTGGCTGCAATACTACCGTTTAACCACTTGCCACAAGGCTCTTTATGCTAGTGGTGTTGATGCACACAAATCTACTCCCATTCCACACAAATAAAATTCTTTTTATTTTATATTTCTGTCAGTGGTTCTAGTGGAATGCTCTTAGCATCCCGATTGTCGGAAAAACTGCCATTTACTGTAATTTCATAGGAGGTTTGAATGGTGCTAGAGAGAAGCGGCGCTTATTAACAATTTGCCAGTACCTAATAATTCAAATGCTGAGGGGAATATACCTCCTGCAGCTCCATAAACTAGACACTGAAGTGTTTGGTATCCTATGTTATTGTTTCAGGTGTTATGACGTGACTGTCATGCTGTTTTTAAAATGCCACTGAAAAGGACAAAGATTAATGTCTGTTAATGTCAGGTGATGTTTTCTGTGAATGTTCACAGTACACCTCCTTTGTTATTGTGTATATTTTTGTGTAAATCAACTGGCTTTAGTATTACAATGCATCCCTAGGTTTTTAAGCTCTATTATCCTAATTGGAAATGTACTATCCTATTTTGAGCAGATAGTTTTATAAGGGGTATTGCATCAAATTCATGTTTCATTTTTCTATTTTATTTAAATAATTTCATCCCATTGACTATAATTTTTTAAAAAACATCCTTGCCTAGCCTCCCCCTCCTCCCTGGCTTTTCCCCCCCACGATTGTAAAACCATATAGAGACAAAGAAAACGATTACAATGAGTTCAAAGAAAAGGAGGAGGAGAAGAAGATCCAAGAAATCAATGGGAAATTTGAGCCTAGATTATGAGTGCTAAATGGCCAGCAGGGAATCACACTATTTGACCAGGAGAAAATAAAGACAAGGTGGAAACAACATATTGAAGAACTCTACAGAAGACATGAAAGGATAACAAGCTGCTTTCAAGAGGAATCTTGTGATGAAGAGCCTACAATTCTAGAAAGTGAAGTGAAAGCTGCTCTGAAAGCTCAGAGAAGAAATAAATCACCAGGAGTATATGAGATACAGCTACATTTCAAATAGCAGAGACTGAATAGATTGAAATCCTCACAAGAACATGTGAACAAATATGGAAAAGAAAACAACAGTTTGGCAATATTCAATATAAATTCCAGTCCCCAAAAAGGAATTGCCAAGGTGTCCAGTAATTATATAGGACCCTTGCTTAATTTCCTGTGCAATCAAATTATGCACAAGGTGTTGCAACAAAGGCCTTTACCTTGTACAGAATGAGAACTGCCTGATGTCCAAGCTGGATTAAAAAAAGGGATACAAGAACATAGATCTGCTGGCTTCTGGAGCATGCCAAAAAGATAATCTATGTTTCATAGACTACAGCAAAGCCTTTGACTGTGTGGATCATGAGAAGTTGCAGGTTGTTCTCAAAGAAATGCGGGTGCCTCAGTACTTGATTGTTCTGATGCATAATCTGTATTGTGGACAAGAAGCTACAGAATATGGAGAAACAGAATAGGCAAAGGTGTCAGAGAGGAGTGCATTTTATCTCTTCCCTCACTATGTAGCACAGTTCTTATCTCTCAGTATCTCCAAGCCCTAACCGTCCCTAACTCCCTCTCTCAACCCTATCTCAAAGCCCTATCTCAAAGCCCTATCTGCCTCACTCACACCATTCACTCCCCTTATATACAACAGCTCCACCCCTTATGTCCCACCCTCTGTCACGCCATTGGCAGATGACACACAGCTTCAGCAGTGATGGGCAGGTGATGTCATAGCTGTATGTGACAATGAAGTAAATGAAATAGCCATAGGTTTTGTATACCTTGGTTCAATCATCAAGCCACATGGAGGTTGAAGCTGAGAAATCAGAAGACTGAGAAAATATCAAGTGTAAGTGTGTGTCACCGGTGACTAAAATTAAGGTCATCCACATTCTTGTATTCCCAATCACTATGTATGGATGTGAGAGCTACACAGTGAAGAAAACTGACAGAAGAAAAAAATATCTCATTTGAAATATGGCACAGGAAGATAGCTTTGCAGGTACCGTAGACTTCCAGAAGGATGAACAAGTGGATCCTAGATTGAGTCAACGCTCAGCTTTCTCTGGAGGCGAAAATTACAAAACTGAGGCTGTCATATTTTGGGCGGAGCATAAGAAGGCAAGATTCTTTGGAAAAAACAATAATGCTAGGAAAAGTTGGAGGCAGCAGGAAAAGAGGAAGACCAAATATGAGATGAATTGACTCGCTAAAGGAAGTCACAGCCTGAGTTTACAAGAGCTGAGCAGGGCTGTTGAAGACAGGACATTTTGAAGTTTGGTCATTTTAATGTGCCATGAAGCCAATTGTGATTTTGGCAAGACTTTTCAGGGTTTTCCAGGTAGCGAATACACAGAGATGGTTACCATTCCCTTCTTTTGGGGGTGCCCTGGGACTGTGTAACTTGCCCGAGGTCACACTGGCTGGCTTTTCTCAGAGATGGCACAGTGGGGAATCGAACTCCCCACCTCTGGCTCCACAGCTAGATAGCTAAACTGAGCTATCCAGCCTACTGGATAGGGTTGCCATGTGTCGGAGGTGACTTGATCTCACATAATAACAACAACAACAACAACAACAACAACAACAACAACAACAACAACAACAACAACAAAAGTATTCAACTTGGAAGTTCTTGCTGATTCCATGCAAATTACCAGAGACCCACCACGTTATCCTAGAGTGGGTTTTGCCCATTCCTAGTATAATCTTTCCTTAACTGCTGATGATTTCAGGTGACAATTTTTTCTAGGCATAACCTGTGCTCTTTTATAGGCGATAACACTAGGACACTGGTTCTTAACCTTGGGTTACTCAGGAGTTTTGGACTGCAACTCCCAGAAGCCTTGACCACCAACTGTGCTGGCTGGGGTTTCTGGGAGTTGCAGTTCAAAAATATCCGAGTAACAAAAGTTAAGAACCACTGCACTAGGATATAGAAGCATCCCGCATTCTGTACATTAAGAGATAATAGAGTATGTGAACATTCTGAACTTCAGTTGAATTAGCAAAAAACAATGGATTGTTGTGGGTTTTTCGGGCTCTTTGGCCGTATTCTGAAGGTTGTTCTTCCTAACGTTTCGCCAGTCTCTGTGAGAACAATGGATTTTGTCTTGCCTGGGTGCATATGATGTTCATCAAATGATGGAAGTCTTTTAATGTTTTAGTGTTTGGAGGGGCCATTTGCCGGATGTATCGTTTCCCCACCACCGATGGAAACCATCTGAGGATATTGGAGCAAATGGCTGAGAGCCTACTCTCTCTTCACATTCCCAGACAGTTTGTGAAACTGCTACTTGAGGAGGATGCTGCAAGGTAATGACAGCATCTTTATTTGGGGTGGGTGGGGGAGATCTCTCACCATC